AATGACAATATCTGTGGAAGCTCTGACCTGTTTTGCATATTGCACAAGTTCCAACTTTTCTTCTGAGGAAAAGATATTGAGTGGAGGATACTTTATTTTCCATTATTATAGAGATTCGAACATGATTTAACATTTGTTCTCAAATAATCAGGTCCTTTTGCTGTCATTGACGAACACTTCAATTCAATCCTGCCAAACTGTTATGACGCAATTGGTCTAATGCTCATGATTCTGATAATTCATCAGCATCAGGTAAAATATCTCAGCTTTGAATGGTGCAAACTGTATGGCTTCTTGATTTTGTTGGATGCTGAATCTTATACAAGGCACAAGATATATCCTTTTACTTGTATGTCATTGGATGAGATTGGAGCATTGTATTGTGAAATTCTTACAGGATCAACTTACGTTTAGCGACTTGTGTATCTTTGGTTCTCAGTTCTACTAGAGGGAAACATTAAGTTTTAAGTCGATTTGCAAGATGAAACTTGGAAAGCTTGAATACTTTTAATTAGAATAATAGTGCAGCACGAAGTTGCATACATGATTTGGACTGTCCTATTAAATTATTACTATTATTATTATTTTAAATAAGAAACCAAACTTTTCACAGATACAAGCACATACAAAAAACCAGCCCAACAACTGGAGACCCGCTAAAGAAAGGGTCTCCAATCCAAAAGGATAATTCCTAATTGATAACTACAAAACAACTTCGGAATCAACCCTCCAAGGAGGTATTGAATCTAATGAGCTCTTAAATTATCTTTTTAAATTTTGGAGATGTCAAAAACATGCAAGGGACATGTTGGGACACGGGTAGGCCACATAGAGGACACATGTAATTGAGAAAATGTAAACTATAATTTATGTTTGAGACTTTTTTTTTTATTGTTTTTTAAAAAGTCTTAAGAATAAGGGATATTCAGCCTTTTTTTAGGACTAATTTACTACTTACCTCTAGTTTATTACTAATATAACTTTTGAAGAAACCATCCTTAGTTGACCTAATGGTCAACAAGAGCCAATGTAAATAGTAAGAGGCTTAGAGGGAATAAATTCAAATCATGGTGGTCACCTACATAAGATTTAATATCCTTCGAATTTCCTTGACAATCAAACGTAAGTCAAAATAGTTGTCCCATTTGATAAATTGAGGTGTGTGTAAGCTGGCTCGAACACTCACATAGTCATGGATATTATATATATGTGTTTGTATCATTCTTTTTTATTTTTTTAAATCCAACAATCTTTTAAGACTTCCTTTTATTGTTTTTCTTAAGAGTGTCCCTTTTTAAGAGAAATCAAACTTTTCACTGAGCAAAATGAAAAAGAACACATACAAGGCAAAAAGCCAGCCCTACAACAGAAAAAGCCTTCCAATTTTTATCATGGATAGGTTCTGGAATATAAGAGCACCTCTGAATACGATCAGTCAAATATAACTGGATAGTCAGATAATTGTTCTGGAAAGCCTTCTTATGCAGCTTGGTTCTGAAATTTATTTGCAATTTTCTACTGATTGGCGACTTGCTGAATATCTTGCAAACACATTTACACGCTCTTCCAATTTTTATCATGTATAATATATCCACTTCCTGACAGTACCTTATATGTCCAGCTCATCATGTCACGGCGGCGTATACCTTGCTTAGATTCATATTTAGACAAGGTCTGTGTTTCTTGAACTCTAATGTTTGTATGTAATCTTTTTTTCATGTCCAAAGTTGCATGATGCCAATTTTATCGCTTATTTATGGAATTCATCATAATGTAAGCCTTGTTGTTGGATTATTCTAAGCAGGTTAACATTGCTCTTTGGCCTCGTTTTAAGATGGTATTTGACATGCACCTCAGCAGTCTGAGGAATGCTAATGTAAGGACATTGTGGGAAGATGATGTCCATCCTCACTATGTCATGAGGCGATATGCTGAATTTACAGCTTCACTTATCCATCTGAATGTCGAATATGGAGAGGGACAGGTAGGAGACACAATAATACTCCCCCCCACACTCACACACACAACTAGGTCGATACTTATTACAGTGACATACAGGTAGGAGACACAATAATACTCCCCCCCACACTCGCACACACAACTAGGTCGATACTTATTACAGTGACATATTTGCAGCTTGATTTGAACTTGGAGCGGCTAAGAATGGCAATTGATGATTTGCTCATCAAGCTTGCCAAAACATTTTCAAAAGCAAAATCACAGACGGTGTTTCTTATAAATAACTACGATATGACAATTTCTGTTTTGAAGGTATGTATCTGATCTCAAGATTTCTCTTGTTCTATGAAATCAATAAGGTAGGACAGTAGGTAGTGTCAATCCCTAATTTCATATGAAGCAAGAAAGACAATCACAAGAGTGGCAAAATTTATCTTATACTCTTTCTGCCTTATAGTCTTCTTCTTCCTCATTAATTTGTAATCACACTTGAGAATGATGCTTTTGAGAGTTCAGTGGAGAGAAATGATCTTCAAATGATTTTCTAACCCTCATTAAAAAAAAATAGAATGAATTACTTGGACAAGGTAATTTGTTCAGTTTTACCTTCCAGACAGAGGCACCGCATGAGTTTGTTTCCTTGCTCTACAAAGAAGGTCCTTCGATGGAAATTTTTACTGGTGTTACTTTGATTTCAGGAAGCTGGTCCAGAGGGTGGGAAAATTCTGGTGCACTTTGAGGATCTGCTGAAAAGTAACACAGCCTTGTTTGTGGCAAGTAACTTGCAGATTATGATGTCTTAGCATGGTGTTCATTTAATTGCATTCTTGATGTTTATATTTGGTTGCAGCTGCAGTTTATAGCTAATGACCTAACCTCCACTCTGTTGTCCTTAATGATTTAGCCTTATTTCGTTTAATCAATTCAAAAAATTGGTGACTGAAACTTTTGTGAGATGAAGACTAGTCACTACTAGTCTGTAATGTAAACTTATAGAGCCTTAAGTGGCTTGACTTATCAAAAAATTATTAACTTTACCTATGTGGTTTGCACAGACCTGCTTTTCTGCACATTTTTTCCCGTCTTTGCTAGTCATTTTAAAATATCGAATGCTTCCATGCAGGAAGAACTTTTAGCAGAGCATTTCAGTGAACTAATCAAGTTTGTGAAAACCCGTGGCTGTAAGTAGTTGAATAAAATTTATTTCGATTTCTGGTTACTTTTAGCTTATTCAAGTAGTGAACTTATCAGGAACTCTCTTTTTCAGCGGAGGACCTAAGCTCAAATCCTGACCGGCCAATAACTGTGGCTGAAGTGGAGCCCCTCGTAAAGGACTTTGCGAGCAGATGGAAAGCTGCAATTGAGCTAATGCATAAAGATGTGATCACTTCTTTCAGCAACTTCTTGTGTGGAATGGAGATCCTGAGGGCGGCTTTGACTCAGCTCCTCCTTTATTACACAAGACTCTCGGATTGTATAAAGAGAATCGTCGGTGGCTCTGCTCTGAACAAGGATCTAGTGTCCATTTCTTCAATTATGTATGAAATTAGAAAATATTCAAGAACTTTTTAAGGTTGGGGGAACCATAACTCAGAGCAATAAGTGAAGATAGCATCATCCCGTGTAAGCAAGCAGAAGCCAAAATGAGTACCTTCTTTTCTCTGAGCTTCACGTTTCTATTCACAAAAGGTTAGTGCAAGTGCAAGTAAACTTGCTTGCTTACACTATATTTCTGGTTACAGGTTCAAACGAAGCCGTGTTTACGTTCGGTACTTCGTAAAATCTCCGGTCAATGGTCAATGCTCGAGGTTGTGGCTTTGCTATTGCATTGCATTTCAGTGCCAAGGCGTGTGTCACCATTAGTCAGTTTACCGTGTACAATTTTTAGCATGGAACCTAATACAATCCTTTCCCTTCCATCCCCGTCCATCACATTTTGTTGTAAGATTCTGTTCCAAATTAGAAGAAATGTAGGAACAATGGCTTACATTAGGAACCTAATTTGCAAGAGTGAAATGTTTGTTTATGGACAATTTTCTTCTTCAAGTAGAGGTTTTGCCTTCAACTCGGAACAGACACACACATACACACAGACAGTTGGCAGGTTAATGTTCTATGGTTTTTCTGAAACGTTAATGTATAATCCATACATTTTGGTTTCTCAACATATTAGGTGCAGGCCGTTTTTTGAGTGCTTGGTTTAGAGACTGTTCCGAACGGTTTCTAGGTTTTAAAAATTTTTAAAACCCGAATAATAAAAATAATGTTTTAAAAATTTCAATCAAAATCGTTGAAATTAAATAATGTTAGATATGGCATCTTGAAAATATTAGTTTCATGTACTAATATTCTTTTAATATTAAACATTTATTTGATCCTACTTTATTCGTCTACTTAAATTTATCCATCTCAACATTTTATGTCTTTTTCAATTAAAACTGTCCACACGAACAGATATCATAAAGCCATATCATTATTTTCAATTTTAAGAGCATTATTGCTTAAAATTTTTTGAACATAATTTTTTACTACATTGAAAATTACTGAAAAAAATTTAGGACATTAGAACGAAATTGACGTGGGTATATTTCATATATTTATTCAATAATATAAAACTGGATTTTTTTAATAATATTTATTTTCAAATTTTTTTTGCGGAATAATGTTGTTTGAAACATATTAAATGTATAATACATTCGAAGTTTATTCTAAAAATAATGCTTTTGAAATTGTTCCGCCAATCGATTGTCTCTAATATCTTGATTTTTTAAGGAAAAAAAAATCAGATATGGTACCAACTAAGCGTGTCTTATAGTTGTCTCTTAAAAAGACTGAACAAATGTTGAGAATGGAGTGATCGTCTTTTCAAGTGGCGGAACAATTTTAGAAATAATATTCTTTGAACAAATTTCAAAGGACACATTATACATTTAATATGTTTAAAATGAGTAAATAATAATTTTAATCCTAACACACGTGTGTACTAAAAAAAGGTTTAAAAATAAGCATTATTTGAAAAAAAAAAATCCTTATAAAAGTAGGGTAGTGCGTTGTGGGCTAGTCGAGACTCGGTTGGCCGCAGAAGGCAGGCGGAGCGGAGGCAGCCATATTGGGCATTAAACCCACAGAGCTGATTGAATATTGATCCTTCTCCTTCACTTAGAGGAAGAAGAATTAGATTGTTGCCCACTGTTCAGGTTCGACGGCTCCGGGCATTCGAAATTACGAAGCGGCCCAATCTTGAAAAGATACAATTTCACCGCCGCTCCATGACACGCCCACAACCTGTTTGCGAAAATGCCTACAAGCAGTACTGCGTTTTTCCGCGTGTGATTTTCACGACAAGCATACGGGTACGTGAACAAATTTCTCCCTTCTTTTCCTTCTTCATTCAATTTTGAGGCAAGGGAACAACCCAATCGCAGTATGCTTCCTTTTCGTCCTATACAACTATTTCACAAGCGTCGATTCATTCTCTTCCGGTACATATCGTCCATTTCATGTCGCGAAGCGGCATCTGCATCTATTTTGAACTACACAAACTCTGAGTTTTTCGAAAAGCCACATGTTTCCAGTAATCCTAGCTTTATCAGATCTTATTGTTCTGGAAAGAACCGTGGCAATAGGTCTAGCGAGTGGACTGAGGATATAGAGTATCTAGATGAGTCGGGAAGTGTAATTTTCTCTGGTAAAGGCGTGCGATCGGTTGAACCTGGTCTCGATGACCATGTAATGGTGGGCGGAATAAAAAAGCCCTTTCTGAATGCGTCGGCTGTTGCCAAAATAGTTGAAGTCGTAAAGAGGTGGAAATGGGGTCCAGAGTTGGAATCCCAGCTCGAAAAACTACAATTCATTCCAAATATGACACACATCACTCAGGCATTGAAGATTATCGACGATGCTGAGGCTAATTTGAGTTTATTTCGTTGGGCTAAGAGGCAGTCCTGGTATTCACCAAATGATGAGTGCTATGGATTGTTGTTTGATGGGTTGAATCAGAGTAGAGATTTTGATGCGATTCAGATGTTGTTTGATGAAGCTGTTCGTGATTTAAGCGGTGATGGTATTGTGTCATTCAGTGCATATAATCGTGTGATTCAGTATTTGGCTAAAGCTGAGAAATTGGAAGTGTCTTTCTGTTGTTTTAAGAAGATTCATGATTCAGGTTTCAAAGTTGATACCCAGACATACAATTCACTTATAACCCTGTTCTTGAACAAGGGTCTGCCTTACAAGGCGTTCGAGATTTACGAGAGCATGGAAGGAGCAGGGTGTTCTTTGGATGCATCTACCTTTGAGTTGATGGTACCAAGCTTGGCAAAATCAGGTCGTCTCGATGCGGCAATGAAGCTCTTTCAACAGATGAAAGAAAGGAACTTTCGCCCCGGCATTAACGTTTTCACATCCCTTGTTGATTCGATGGGGAAAGCTGGGAGGTTGGACACATCAATGAAGATTTACATGGAAATGCAGCTGCTTGAGCTCAGATTGTCTGCTTCGGTGTTTGTTTCTTTGATTGAGTCACATGTGAAGGCTGGGAAGTTGGAAACTGCTCTCAGGCTTTGGGATGAGATGAAGAGGGCAGGTTTTAGGCCCAACTTTGGTTTGTACTCGATAGTTGTTGAGTCACATGCCAAATCAGGGAAACTTGATGTTGCAATGTCTATCTTCACCGAAATGGAGAAAGCTGGATTTCTTCCCACCCCATCTACTTATTGCTGTCTCTTGGAAATGCACGCTGCATCGGGACAAGTAGATCCCGCCATGAAGCTCTACAACTCTATGACTAATGCAGGTTTGAGACTCGGGCTAAGTACGTACACTGCTTTGTTGACACTCCTGGCTAATAAGAAGCTTATCGATGTTGCTGCAAAAGTTTTACTTGAAATGAAGGCCATGGGATTCTCCGTTGACGTGAGCGCAAGTGATGTATTGATGGTATATATCAAGGAAGGTTCTGTCGATTCTGCTTTGAGGTGGCTTCGGTTCATGGGTTCGTCAGGGCTGAGAACTAATAACTTTATTCTCAGGCAATTGTTTGAGTCATGTATGAAGAAAGGAATGTATGAATCAGCTAAGCCTCTCTTAGAAACTTTTGTAGATTCTGCTGCAAAAGTTGATCTCATACTTTACACATCCATTCTGGCCCATCTTGTAAGGTGTCAAGAAGAGCAGAATGAGAGATATTTGATGTCCATCCTCGGTGCTACCAGACATAAGGCACACTCTTTCTTGTGTGGGCTGTTCACTGGACCAGAACAAAGGAAACAGCCAGTTTTATCTTTTGTGAGGGAGTTCTTTCAGGGCATCGACTACGAGCTGGAAGAGAGCAGTGCAAGATACTTTGTCAACGTCCTCCTCAACTATCTAATTCTCATGGGACAAATAAATCGAGCTCGATGTATTTGGAAAGTAGCTTATGAGAATAAGCTCTTTCCAAAGGCCATAGTCTTCGATCAACACATCGCCTGGTCCCTCGATGTTAGGAACTTGTCAGTCGGAGCTGCCCTTATAGCAGTCGTGCACACTCTCCATCGGTTCAGGAAGCGAATGTTGTATTACGGTATAGTTCCAAGGCGCATAAAATTGGTTACAGGACCAACTTTGAAGCTTGTGGTCGCTCAAATGTTGAGCTCTGTGGAATCCCCATTTGAGGTTAGTAAGGTGGTTCTGAGGGCAACAGGAGAATCTGTGATGGAGTGGTTCAAAAAACCGATCGTCCAACAATTCCTTCTGAATGAGATTCCATCAAGATCAGATATCCTTATGCACAAGTTGAACACTCTGTTTCCCAGCTCTGCACCTGAAATTAGATCTCTTTCCCCTCCCAAACCCCTCATTTCCAGGAATTCAGCATAGCTATCAACTGCATTCTTAGAATAGAGATTTGGAGACACTCTGTTTTTCTAGACATGTAAAACAAAATTTTTGATGTATAATTGAACTGAAAGCAGAAGAATTGCAATGAAACCAACTATACTTGTTGCAATGTGAAATAATATCATCTGTATACATAATTATCAACCCAGAGATTCCTTGGAGATCTATGCTTCAAATAACACATCAAAATAAACCAGCACTTGCCTAAGAAGTAAGACTGACTGTTGTTCACTACAATGTTTTCTATTTCTTCACAATATTGTGGACAGAACAGAGACACGTATGACATTCTGGACTTGGTCATTTCTATTTCCAAATGCTGTTTTGTTTTACTCTACTGCTTGCTATCAATAATTGTGGGAATACAAAACAAAATGGCTAAGTGGAAACTATATGATAAGGCATAACAATAAACTATGAACATGTAAGAAATCCATCTTGTGTAATCAAATAGCCTTCTCCACCCACACTTGTCCTCACTGCCTGATAAAGCTCCACCCAGGAAGAACAATGTAATTCCTCTGTCCCCCACAAGAATGTTGGATTAGGGCTTGCAGGGCAGGCAGTAACCAAATCCAACACTGATGCAGCTGGTTTCAGTTGCTGAGGGAAATTAAATGCTAAATTGTCCACCTTGTGTTCGTAAATTTTCCCATTTCGATCCAGTTTATATCGCGAAGTGCCCTGAAACTCGCCCCTCACCTCCCATGGAACCCGAGGAACGCCCTTCAAGTTCCACCGGATCAGTATAACGTTCTCCGAAGGCTGCCAAATCCTGTACACCTCAATCCCAATCTCCCGGAAGAGAATTCTGGCGTGAAATCTCAACGCCCAGAATATCAATTTGTACCTCTCGATCCCGCTGAAGGTGTTCAAAGGATCAATAAAGGTGATATCGTCCCTGAAAACGATCGAAACCCCAAAATAAGACGGGCGAAAGAACAAAAACAGAAATCAGCTCCGGGAAAGAGGAGAAAAGCACCTGTAAATGTCGTAATTGAGGTCTGTGATGAAGATTGAAGGGAGGTCCTCGCGAAGAGTCCTGACGGCGAGGCCGAGATTGACATAGAAATCGTCTCTCCGATGATCGGAGTGCGTGTCGGAGGAAGCAGAGGGAGAGGCGAGTTGAGGGGAGTGGACGGCGGCGGTGAGAGAGAGAGGAGAAGAAGAGGGTCTGAAGTGAGAGAAGAGAAGGGGATTGGGTTTGGATTTGCAGTGAAGCATGAGAGAGGGGAAGAGATGAGGAAGAAGAAGAGCCATGGCCATGGAGTTCGTTGGATGCCTCACTTTTCGTTTTCCATTGGAATCACACACACACACACACACACACACAAGAGAGGATTTTTAGTTTGTGTGCGTTGTGCGTTTTCTGTTGGTTTGATTTTGTGTATGGCGTTTCGTTTCGTTTCGTTTCTTTTACAAGTTAAATATTAATATTTTTTTCTTTTTCAAAATTCTGGAAATTTTCATTTTAATTTTGATTTTATGAGTGGCTTTGAGCGTGGCCATCTCTCCCTTGCGGGTCGTCAGTCAACGTACTTCCCTCAAACAGAAACAGCACACAGAGAATTAAAAAATAATACCTAAATTTTGGTTTTTTTCTTCTCTTTCTTTTTGTGATCTCAAGAACTCATCCCCCCTCTCATCTCGCTAATAAATGTAGTTTCTATAACCAAAATGGTTAAAAAATACTTTTCCTCCTAAGATTTAATCATTGAACTTTTTTTTTTGGTTAAGTTTCTTATATATATAAAGGAATGAGGATCCAAATATATTTATAAATTAGAAATATTAAATTGTTATATAATAAAATATGATACTTAATTTTAATAAGATTGTTACTAAATTAAATTAAAGTTCATAAATGAATCGTTACTTTAGTGAGATTACAGATACTAAATCATTACAAACTAAAATTTAGGAACTAAATCATGACTATAGTGAAAATACAAAGATCAAATGTATTTTTTAACCCAATAAAAGAGTAAACTTGAGTATAATTCAACTGGTTTTAAGATGTATCATCAATGAAAATGTACGAATCGTTGTAGTCAAATGGAAAAAAAAAAAGATATCTAAAATAAAATGAATAAATAACTGGATTTATTATCCATTTTCCAAGCGGAAAAAGTTTGTTCGATTTCCGGATGATTGATTGAATGGGAAGGACCCAATATGTTTGGATAAGATGATATGGTTTAATAAGAGGATATAACAAACAAACAGCTCTTACTCTTCAGTCTTTAGGATATTCGCTGAGAATCTGTACATTCCATTTCTTCCTGCCACTTTTCCAACATCTATTTATTTATGTATCCATAACCAAAACAAGCAGACATGTCAATTCTTCTCCCACATTTGATTCTCTCCCTTTCAGAATGATTACATTATATTTAAGGGTAGAAATCGAGTAACCTAGAAACCAATCAAATTAAGTCAGTTTAAACTACCATTGTTAGTATAAAATTGAAAAAAAAAAAGGAAATTAGTTGGTTCAATTAGGAAAGTTTTGAAAGTGAGTTTCAATTGATTCAAACGCATGCTAAATTTGAGATAACATCATTTGGATAATCTTCTGCAGTTCTGCACATACAAAAAAAATGATCGGACCTGTACTGTATTATTGTAAGATGTGGAATTTGAATAGACCAGAAACCGATGTCAGTGAAATGCAACAACTTTTTCTAAACTCAAAGCAGAAGCAAGTTAGATTTGAAGTTTTTTCAACTCACACAGCAGATGATGCTGCCTGCAAAAATGAATGGCACAAATATTTGCTTAAGAGTGGAAACAGTGTACTAGTAGAGCCCCTGTTCTATTGCACATACATACTACATAGATTAGCTTGATTCCACAGTATATGAGGAGAAAAGGAATACTACATTTTTCACCTCAGCAAACTAACAGTACGGTGGTATCAGTATGCATATTTCCAAGCTTCAAATCTGTGTTTACCTGTATGTACTAAACCAAAGGGCGATTCAGACCCGTTTTGATGGTTGAACAAGTGAGTTTCTGTCATTGTTTTCTACAAACTTGGATAAAATAGCCGAATCGTTTTGTCTGTCTCTTTCAACCAACCACTCCTCTTGAAATTGAACATCAACATCTCTGTACAACAATTTGACCCAAAGCCAACAAAATCTAGTCAAGAAAGAAATAGCTACAATTCAAGTTATTCCAAGAGTAAAGATGCACAAACAAACTACACATTGCACCAGCATAAGATTAGGTGGGAAGAAAATGAAGGGAAAGGAATCACCTTCTCAGGGCTAGAACTTTATAATTCGTACGCAGGTAATCGGCATACTTTGTAAGTGCATCTTGTGCATACGGTCTGCCCACAGTTCTTATTGCAGCAGCACTGAGTAGATTCTCCAAAGAACCATGTTTCTTCAAGAGCTTCATTGCAGTTTTTCGACCAAATCCAGGAGCAACATGCTGGATTCCCGGAACGCCATCTACCTCATCACCCATAATACATCCTATGAAGAAAATCACTATATCATACTTCAACATTTATCATACTTCCTTCTGGTTAAATCTCCAGAACAACGATTGCACATGTATATATTTTGAAGGACTTATAATTCCTCGTGATAAGAAAATGGTAAAATTTTCTGAACTTCTCTTTGTGGTTTCTATATTCTACGTTTGCAGATCGAGTACTTACTCAGACTCAAGTCAGAGCATGGATCGCAGTTATACTGAGCTAGGTAGTGCCTTAAGGTGTAAAAGGACCATCTGTTGAGCTCTGGCAAAGGCATCACGAGTTGGACATCTTCTGAAATCAACTGCTTGAAATCTTTATCAGGAGAGGCTATAACCACCCGAAACCCTCTTTGTAAAACTTGGTCCACAAGTGTAGCTACAACATCATCTGCTTCATGACCGTCAACCTTTACAACCTGCATGACATAGCTTTATAGAATGAAAAGGACAAATCTTAACAGTTCTGAACATTCATTCTTTCAAAGTTTAATATTCCAACGCCACAATTCTGATCATGGATAATAGACCAATAAACTTTCTGCAATTTACATTAGCTAGTCTACACCATCAATAAGTCCCAAGCAAATACGTCGAAAATTATTTAGACAAAGTTCACCTACTGGCACATTACAGTTTCTGAGAGCATCCCTTATTACTTGATATGGCCTTCTAGAATTTCCCTTAGTATATCTTTGTGAAGATGATTGTCTCGTGAATTTGATCCGATGTGCTTTATATGAGGGTAATAACAGCCTGCGATGCTCACTACCTCCTTCCCCATCAAAAACCTGCGGAACCAGTACGAATTTGAAGAGTTAGAGAAATGATGCATACTACTGTTTCTGATAACGTTTTCCTCATTAAGAGAAATTCGTCCAAAGAAAGAAATCTCGCCCGAAGCCAAATATCCAGCTATGTGACAACACAAATAAGAAAACGGGATAATACCTTAGTTACAACTTACACAGGCTACTGGGAAGGGGTGCCTAAGGTTATGAGAAACTGATGCACAAAAGAAATACCGATAAGCAGATCATAGATTCATATTCCAACCCCGTTCGTGGTTGTGCACATCCATCTCCCAAGTTACAAACTAAGCTTATTCAAACGAAAGACCACAAAATAATGTCAAATCACTATATTCCTACAAGCATTTACACTTGAGAGAAATAAAAATCTCCTCCTCGAAAACTTCTTCAGTAAGCACTAGGCCCAATAGGTGACAGTGTAATCTTAACATTTGCTCACTGCAGTAAGCATTGAGCCCAAAACGCCATGAAAGAAAATGGGATCGAAGTTTTTACCTCCCTTCCTGCACTAAATACACTACAGCTGGAGGCAGGCAGGGTGAGGGAGTCATATTTTGTTTTCAATTAACTGTTGGTTTTGTAATTCCCACTAATTATCCCTTTCATAAATAAATAAACCTTGTGGGCGCTTTGACGTTCCAGAATTTGAAATTGCTAGAATTTGGAAAAGAAATAGAAACCTAAAAGAGAGAACGGAATATGAGATTGTTTTAGTCACTGAGAGCTTAGAAATTAGCCGAACGAGATAACTTGTAGAATTGGAATTGTCCCATACGATAGCACAAAAATGGGAGCATGCGATTAAACAGATAAATTCATACAATAACCCAACAAAACAGACAGACTGAGAGAAATTAATAAGTTCAGACTTGGATTGAAACCACAAGCATGAGTAAAATTAAGCCCGAAATCAGTAACGTATATAAAAAAAATGAGCAAAAAAACAACCTATGCGCTCGACATTATTGATAGTAAACAATGGCACTTACAGCAATAACAGGATCACTGTGGCTAACTTGCTCGAAGAATATGGAAGCCCAGCGACCAAAATTGTGCAAACTAGGTCTGCTACCTTCGTAGCATAATGGATTTACGTCCAGGAAAAAGACCCTTCCCTTTCTTGGATTATCCGCTTCAATTATTGGCTGCAACGTCCCGCCATCTGTTTGTTTAAAGGTAGAATGAGATGCTACCGGAAAGGCACTTAGCTGCAACGCCTTCGTTCTCCATGAATTGGATTTCGTTGTTAATGTCGATTCTGGTTTCAGAGTTCTGGAGGGTAAGGAACTACGCGATGCAGAGTTCAGAAATGGCGGAATATTCACGCCTATGTTGGCGCCCGCCTCAGCCATTTCTAGTCTACGCCTCCTGTCAGGAAAAAGGATACTGAAAATGAATCTGTTCTTAACGAAACGGAACTGAAGTAGATAAAATAAAATAATAATAATAAAACCAACTTTTATGGCGGTAAAGTTTCAATTTTTCTTTTTCTACCTTTATCGTTTCGTTTACCATTTTTTAGTCGAAAATAGATATGTTTACCGATAAAATATTTTATTTCTTTTACAATTTGTGGGGTGGAAAATTGAACTCATACTTTATTGATTATAGATATATAATAATTATACTGACGTATGCTCGCTTGGACGATAAAATATAATTTTATTAAAAATAAAGTACAGAAGTATAATATTTAAAATGGGAATGCATGAAATTCTTAATAAAAAAAAGGGAAAAAGAAAAAAGTATGAAGAATACGTTATTAGAAATAATTATTTTAATAGAGTATTAATATTTGGTAACGAAATTTTGGCTCCAAAGGCGTTGGTAAATGACAAAGATAAGCAAATAGCAATTAGCATTGCAGTTCGCCACTTCCATGGAAGGAAGAGAGAGAGATCTCATTGTTTTGTAACCAACGCAGAGTTTGTCCTCGCTTTCTGATCTACCACGCTCCATCAATATCTCACATTCCCTCTCTCTACGTTCCTTCCCTTGATCTCCATCACTTGACAAACCAAACTTCCATTTCGTTTCCGCACGATCGAAGCCGAACCCTCCCTCTCATTCTCTGTCATTCTCTTTGCTGCATCATCCCGTATTTTCTTTCTGATGATACACCCTCGAATCGCCGGTGATTCTGATTGATATGAGGGATTTGATGGAGCTACATTGAGTTTGCATGGATCGTATGGAATGGAAGGTTTTGGTCTTATGAGTTTCTGTCAACTACTCCTCCAATTCCAGCCATGGCGGTTAGTGGGCCGGGTTCGAGTTCAGGGAGCTCCTGGACTGACTCTCGCAAGGGCATGTCGTGTGATAACATCAAGGGTTTGGTCTTAGCTTTGTCTTCCAGTTTCTTCATTGGTGCCAGCTTCATTGTCAAGAAGAAAGGCTTGAAGAAGGCCGGGTCCTCTGGTGTTAGGGCAGGTTATGCCACTTTTTATCATCGCCTTTTTCTAACATCGCATTTTGTTTCAACTCAGATGAATGTGCGATTCAGACTGGTGGCTTTTATGGGAATAGTTCGAGTTTTTGCTAGCTTTGTCGATTATTGTTTTTGGATCGATGTCCGTTTGCTGTACTTAATCTCAACGTTTCCCTGGCAGGCTCTGGCGGTTATTCTTACTTGTATGAGCCATTATGGTGGGTCGGCATGATAACCAGTACGTTTTCCAATCTACCTGGTTGCTTCTGTGTTTGAATGTATTACAGGCCTTGGTTGATGCGAAATCATTTTGAGAATTATAAGCACCAGAGAAGAAGTAACTCTTAACCTTATACACTACTACATGATCAATTATGCTGAAATTTTTCTGTCGTTCTGGTCCGCAGGTGGCTAATTCATGGTTAACTTGTAATGTAACAAGTGGATGCATTTAGGTCCTGGATGATTTTATCCTTTCTTTTGATATCAGTCCTGGGAACATATTGCCTATGCGTGTGTGTGTCTTTGGACTAAGAATAACCTCTATAAGTTCGTTCCATTTTGTGACTACTAATCATTGGCTCCTGATGCTTTTTCTTTCAATATTATGTTCCAAGTTAGCCAATGTTCTCTTCTCCCAGTTTCCCTGCTTCTTCAGTTACATCTACCCTCAATTTCCTAGATGGATTTTTATTGACAAGGAGTAAGTAGGAGTCATAATATAGAGAATTATTTAATGCATTATGATCTCCTTTTCCTTTTGCATTTCTTATTGAAATATTATGCTGAGATGTTTTTATTTTACTTCTGAAATCTTGAGTGTTAAATTTTTCATTCGAAAGATTTGTATTCTAATAGTAATATTTTCCATTTGGCAGTGGTTGTAGGGGAAATTGCTAATTTTGCAGCTTATGCATTTGCACCGGCCATTCTGGTAACTCCCCTTGGCGCGCTCAGTATAATTATCAGGCAAGAGGACAAACTGTCATTACTGTTGTTTTTAATGCATCTTGGCATTCACCGTGTTTTGACCATTTGGTGGTATGTATTGTGCAGTGCTGCCCTTGCTCATATTATATTAAGGGAGAGATTAAACATTTTTGGTGTTCTTGGTTGTGTTTTATGTGTTGTGGGTTCGACAACAATTGTTCTGCATGCACCTCAAGAGCGTGAGATACAATCTGTCACGGAAGTGTGGGATCTTGCGACAGAACCAGGTATACACTAAAGGACATTCTATTTCTAATATCATGTGTAATTTTTTAACTTTTGTGTGAATATAAACTACCTTCACGGCTTGTTTCCTTAATGTAACATGTGCATGTTTTCTGTAGCTTTCCTTTTGTATGCTGCTGTGATGATAGCCACAACTCTCGTACTCATAATCCACTTTGTGCCTCATTATGGGCAGACACATGTGATGGTCTACATAGGGATTTGTTCTATTGTGGGCTCACTTTCGGTATGTAGTCAGTTTTTTCGCGTGTTTTTTTAGTTCTTACATCGATTTGTGTAAAGTTTCTGAAGCCATTTTGACAGGTTATGAGTGTTAAGGCACTTGGAATTGCCTTGAAGTTAACATTTTCAGGAATGAATCAGTTAACATATCCTCAAACCTGGGCCTTCACAGTGGTTGTGATCACTTGTGTGATCACTCAGATGAATTATCTTAATAAGGTATCCATCTCTCTGAAAATTCCATCTAAACCATCTTTATATTTGAAAGCATGAATTGATTATTTAACCACCTTTGAGGGACAGCTCACTAAATAGTGGATGAGTTTAATCGTTTGGAAGTTGGCGCACTATAGTTGGGGAGATATAGAAATTACTTTGGTGACTGGTATTTCCAGAATGCTATAGGGGTGGTAGTTGGCACTTTGCATATTCCTTTTGTGCTCTCTGTAAAACAATGAAATGAATTCCTGAAACTTTTGCTATGGTCATTAGTTTGGTTGTGGCCAACGGTTGTAATTATTAAGCAATGTCATGCTCTAAAGTCCCAAAGTTTTTGTATCGAAGCAATTGAAAAATTCATTAGGGTACTAGACATATGCTTGATAAATGATTCACAAACTTTTAAATTCAAGCAATGTGCCATGCAGACTTCTAAATATATAACTTTAATGCAAGAACTTTTACGGAACTACCATTTCATGAATGTTAAATGAACCATGAAATATGCAGTCGGAAATCATACCATGTCTCCCTCAAAAAAAAATTAAAAATCATACAATTTCATTTGTGAATAATTTCAAATTTTTTTGTCATGATCATTTATTAATTGTTATTATTGAACCTGAAAGCTACAAATATCGCATTAAGAATTTGTTCATCTTATCTGTATGTTTTTTACTTTGTTGAATAAATCAGTTGGGCTAGTTGGTTATATTTAGCTAATTAATTATCAAAATTTTCTGTTTGGACATATCAACTGAGAGTACAAGCTATCAGGCTATAACCAGGAAGAGACAAAAAAAATTATAAAAATAAAAATAATTAATTTGCTTTCCTGATTGTGATTTTTTTGGTATAATAAAATTAAAATTTTCTTATTGTCATTTATTGTCATAGGCTCTTGATACTTTCAACACAGCTGTCGTATCTCCTACGTACTATGTGATGTTTACATCATTGACCATTTTGGCCAGCATAATTATGTTTAAGGTAAAAACACGCTCTTACTTTACCATGGCTTCATAAAACTTTATTAACTTCTCCGTCTGATAATAATAACAACAGGCAATGCATGTATGATGTGAAATATTTTCACTCGTGAATTTGACAAATATTCTTCTTTTATGCATGCATTTCTGTTTGTGTGTCGTAAATTCGGGGAAATAAAAAATGTCTTCGATGAGCAACTGTCGTATACTGCCGTTGTCTTATTTGAAGTAATTATGGAGGCTACTAGTAAGTCCAATGTCCTGTCTGCATCTTGTATATTTATTTTCATAATAGTCCTTCCATTTTTCTATGATGTTTTGTAGTTAGATAGTTGTTTTCTAGATCCTGTTGTGTCGTCTTGGACTTTCCTTTATTTGTATTCCTCGTTTGTATTCTTCTTCTTCTTCTTCTTCTTCTTCTTCTTCTTTTTTTCTTGGTCAACGAAAGCTGGCTTTTTCATCCAAAAACTTTCATGACGCAAGTAAGGTAATTGCTTGCAGTTGGTCTTTGAGAACATTGGACAGTAGTTTTTTCCTTGAAGTATACAAGTAATTACATGTAGATATGTGTGATCCGAAATAAATCCAGAAGTATTTAGTATATAATCGTGTAAAAACATTTTCTCATGGTTCCACATGTGCCAAATGCTAATAGAGAAGACATGCTTTTGCATTAGCTTTAAAAGATTCTGGATTTCAAGTAAAAACAGTTTTCGTATTTCTCTTAAAGTCTGTGATAACTATCTCAGTAGAATAGAGAAACTTCTACTTCCG